TCTGTTATTGATTCCTTGTGATAGTCTTTGACCAAATCCGTTGCTAATAACACGTTTTCAATCAGTAGCCGGTCTTTCACAAACGCGGACTGATTTCCTGCAATGAACTGAGGGAGTAGAGACTTCAATCTATTGGCTAGGATCTTGGATATAACCTTATAGATAACATTGCAGCACGATATTGGCCTATAATCCTTCATCTCTTTGGACTCCAGTTTCTTGGGTATAAGTGCTAATATTGTCGAGTTAACACCTTTTGGCAGCTAACCCCGATAGCAAAAAAACATTGAATTGCTATCGTGAATTCAACACCAATTATGTTCCATGTCTCCTTGAAGAACTCGGATGTAAACCCGTCTGGACCTGGAGATTTGTCATTTGGCATATAAAATAATACCTTTCTTATCTCTTCTGCTGAGACTATACGAGTGAGCTGTTGTTGGTCTGTTTCTGAGCAGCGAAAAGGTAACAAATCACCAAGTTCCTCCACGCCTATACCCTCATAATCATTAGGAACCAGCTGTAGAAATTCCCTGAAAAATTTCTCCGCCTCGATTTTGACCTCATCTCCTTTTACTACTCGCCCATCACTGCATGTAATCTCCCGGATAGTGTTCCTTATTTCCCGTAGTACCGCAGCTCTATGAAAAGCTTTGGTATTTTTATCTCCTACTTTTAACCAATGAAGTTTTGATTTCTGTTTAAGGTACTTTTCCTCAAGACCAGCCACATGATCCCATCTCAAATAAGCCTCATTCTCTTGTTCCATAGCATGAGTAGAGGGGTCAGCCAAATTTGCTTCTTGTTTTTTGCAAAGATCAGCGTATGCTTCTTTAGATCTTTTCACCAGATGGCTTATCTTCTCCTTTGCCAAATTTCGAATTAAAGGCTTGAGACCCTTTAATTTCTTTGTAAATCGAAAAAGAGTCGAAGTGGATAAAAACAGTGGCTCTGTTTCGCTCCAGTAGTCGCCTACCATTGGATTAAATTCGTCCATCTCCGTAAGAACATTCACGAATTTGAATGGCTTCCTCTTCTTTATGGTGCTTTCTCCCTCAGCATTCAAGCTTATTCGACAATGCAAGTGATCTGAGCATCCTCCAGCCTCAAAAACACTATATGACTGCGGATAAGTCTGCATCCAAACATCATTTACCAATACGCGATCCAACTTCTTCATGATAGGATCATTTTCTCTCTTATTCCACCATGTGTATAACGGCCCATGAGCAGCCATGTCCGTAATTGAGCAGTAAGTGACTGTTTCCTGAAAAGAACGCATTCCATTACTCTAGAATGTTCCGCCATGTCTAGATTTTCATTGAAATCGCCGAAGATAATCCAAGGCTTGTTTGAAATGATGGGAGAATCAAAATGATCCCGCAGCTCCTGCCATAGGATCTTCCTTTGCTCCTCAGTATTCAACGCATAGACAAAAGAACAGAAAAATTATGTATCATGCTCCTCTAATTTCACCGAACAAGTAATCAACTGTTCACTTTTATATATGGGACTCAGTCTCACATTGTTTTTCCAAATGACCCAAATGCGACCTCTCCGATTATGCTCATAATTCATCAATACTGACCAATCTCGAAATAAACTTGAAATCAATCTTTGCGCCTTCTTCTCTCTAACACGTGTCTCTAATAAACACCCAAACTGGAAATGTTGTTCCTCTATCCACTTTTTTATCACAGAATGTTTTGATGATTTATTTAAGCCCCGAACATTCCAGAAGAAACCCGACATCTAATGGTGTTTGGGAGGAACCTTCTTTCTCTGAGCTTTAGGATTTATCCTAACAGATTGAGTGGAAAGGTTTGACACAGTCTTGTGCGCAGATTTTGACCCACGAGGCAATGACGGACGTAGAGGTAAGTCAGGCTTCGAATCTCTAGAAATGTCAGCTAACCCCCGCTAAATCTTTTGTCAGCTAACCCCGCTAAGTCAGGTTCATATTTTCTTCAATCTCTCAACAACAACCCTACTATTTTCTCTCAAACCATTTTCGATTTCTCAAAAAATCTTTGAATTTCTCAGTTGTTGATAGTTGATAACTCCGTAATTTTACCAATTTTCATTGTCATTTTAATAATTTTTTGATAAGAGGTTAGTGTGATATTGATGTTATTCAAGCATGTTTCTACCAATTGTGGTTTACTATATGTAAATATTTATTTCTCTATCTTTTTATTGGTTTTCATATTTTTTTAATGTAAATTAGTATAAAGTTCATTTTTTCAGGAAATACACAAAGAAATAATACAATTCCTTACATATGCTGCAACCTAATCGACAGACTTGACACGTGATCTTGTTAGTGACTAACTTTGAAATCAAAATTAATATTATTTTTATATTTGATAAAAATTTTGGGTTCTGCGCTTTGCTAAAATTTCTTTTTTTTATTTTATTTTTTTTTGTTATGAAATTTCATCGATTTTTTTGTTTTGTTTTTTCCGATTATAGTTTTATGTTTTAACAAAAAGCAAAACTATTAAATGCCACATGATATTCGGTTCAATTCTTTTGACTTCAGATTCTTTTGATAGTTATACATGATTTTTATTTTTGATTAACTCTGTTGAATAACATAAAGATTTTCATCTTACAAAAAATAAGATGCTACGCAAGGAATTGACTACAAGAAAACATCCCAATTTCCGAAGAAATACCAAAAAATTTTGGACTAATTTCCAATAAAAATTTCTGATCAAAGAAAGGTGTTCGGAAATTAGTCGAAAAATTTGGTGAGAAACACCATGGTCGTCGGAAATTTGTCAAAAATTTAATACTCTAGTTTTTCATTTTTCTTTCTTAAAAAAAACGTGGTCGGAATCCTTTGATTCACCTCTTCTTTTTCTAGCTAATCAATATTTGCCACCTAATAAAAAATTAAATTCATTTAATTGTAAAATCTGATCTGCCACCAAAATGAAATTATATATCGGTTTGGATTTATAAAAAAATATTATGGTTTAGATTTTATAATTAAAAAAAGGTTAAATATCAGTTTGGATTTATAAACAAGTTTAAATTTTACAACTAAACGAGGTTAAATATCGGTTTAGATTTATAAAGAACGGTTAAAGTTTATATTTTACAATTAAATGAGGTTAAATATTAGTTTGGGTTTATAGAGGACTAGGGTTTAGATTTTGTAATTAAACGAAATTATATGTCGGTTTGGGTTTATAAAAAAGTGGTTAAGAATTAGATTTTACAATTAAATGAGTTTAATTTTTTTTTATCAGGTGACTGAATAGAAGAGAGTGAATAGCACAAGTACAAATTTCTTGGAGATCATTGTCCTGATATAAGCAAGGGGCCCCTTAACCTATCGTCATTTATCATAACCAGTTGGTTTAGATTCTAGTGAGATTGAGCGGTATAATAAAATGTAGGATGTATATATAACACAAACTAAAACATTTAATACCAAGCTTGGAATAACCTAAGCATCATTTTAAGTCATACAATGAAATAGTTTTTAAGAAAATAAAGATATAAAAAATTATCATAAAATTTCTCTATCTATACTAGTATTTTTGCAACGTTTTGGTGACGGGTGGGTAAAAATGCTTCTGGGTTAATCGGATATCCGACCCGTTTTTTTAAATCCTTCACAAAAAAATTGTTGGGTCGGGTTATATTTAACCCAACTCATACACCGGATATTCCATATTTAATAATTTAGATATTTAGAAGATTTGATTAAGATTTAGAATTATGTTTCTCCTATCATCTTTGTTTGATTTGTTTTTAACTGTTTTGAATCATCATATAATACATAAAGTAAAAAAAAAAAAATCAATTTTTTTTCTGCATAGTGATTCGAAATTTTAAAAACGGACATATATTATCTAATTGATGAAAATGTGTGTTCAATGTTCTACATCGATTAAAATATTTAGACAATGATTCAGAATCATATCATAAATAAGATCAACATTAATAAAATAAATGAGTTTTTTGGCCGGACGGATTTGGCGGGACGGGTTTTTGAATCAACAATAATAAAAAGATTAAAATATCATTAATCCGCCGCTTCAATACGGATTAAATCCTTATTTTTTTTTAATACCACCAATATTAGACATATTAAATCAGTCTCATTTAGAAAAGATTGTATAAAACCAAAAATTGTCCCGTGGTATAATGTTACTTAATAACAATATTTATAAAATTTTAAATATCATTAACATGCCGCTTTAATACATATTAAATCTTCAGTTTATTAAAATATAAATGTCTTAGAGAATGATATGATTTGTAAACTTATATATATAATAAATAATCATTAAATTTTAAAATAAAAACAAATTACGGGACGGGTTAAGAAATTACGGAACGAGTTATATTTCGGAAAGGATTTATATGGCAGACGAATTTGAATCAATATTTATATACCGCTTTAATACGGGTTAAATCCTCAGTTTATTAATAATTGTCTCGTGGACTCGTGGTATACCGTTATTTAATAACAATTGTAAACTATAATATAAATAAATATGTTATAAGGAGATACAATTTACAAAATATTTTTATACTAACTTTAAATTTAAATCACCGCGGGTTAAAATCTAGTATATATATATATAGTAATTTAAAATTCTTATTCGATAATTTGAATTTGTTTATTAATATCCTTCTATATATAATTAGAATATAGGAAAAACACATAAAGAAATGATTATATTTTTAATATAAATAATAATTTTGTCGATATAAAAGAGAAAATAAAAACAAGTCCACTACGTAAAAATAAATTTATAACATCGCGTATTGGACAACAAAGAATAGCGTACTCAAACTCATATTTAACGGGAAAATGCAAACAAAGTTCCTCACTTGGTGTGACATTAGAAGTGCTTTTGAAGATTCGTTGTGGCTGAGAGACCTCGTTGCTTCAGATAAACCATCGATCTACTTATTTTGATATGTTTAATGTTTCTCTGTTGAGTTCGGTTGGGTTGGGTCGGTTCGGTTCGGTTAAAATGCCCACCCCTATTAACCGTAATTTGTTGCTCTGTGCGCTCTGTTTTTTGTTTAAGCTTGTTGCTACAAAGAGTGAGATTATCGAATTGTTTGATGGTGTTCTCCATTTCTCTATAGGTTATCAAACTCTCCACAACTTTGCTGAATTCTTCCCGCATTGTCTTTGTACCGGACCTTGTCCTAGGTGGTTGATACATAGTCGGTGATTGCTCGAGTAATTACCCGATACACTTAACCGAAAGGTAGTATATACGGGGTCGATCGACAAGAACCAATGGTACACTAAAGATTTCCGAGACTCGTTTTTAGCTAAAGCGGAAAGGTTGTTTGTTTGGTTTTCAGATTGTAAAATAAAAATGCAAGTAATTTAAACGATTAAACTTATGGATTTAAAGACATTGGGCCATAGGGTATTTCAGAGATCAATAAATAATGGAAACATGAGACAAAGAATTCAACAAAGATGACCAAGTTGTTGTGTTACTTGATCCTGAAAGACAGTGGGAAGGCGAAACTCTCAGTTTCTTCCACATGTAGATAGATTTCATTTGGTTGCGTTCATGACATTGACGACCTTGTATCTGTCTCTTATCAACTTTGAATGTCCTTTGTTCATAATGCAGACCGGACCCTGGAGTAGATACCGAGCTATGCTCTTCCACAGGTAAATAGATTTCATTCGATTGCGTTCATGACATTGATGACCTTGTAATGATGGTCTCTTTTTTAATGCTTCCAGGATAATTCAAAATGGCTTGAACCTTGGTTTGGTGCCTTCCGAGGAGGTTCTGCACAAAATTTATTTGATTTTGTAGCAAAGTCCTGAGAGGATCAGTTGTTTATTTGTGCTTCTTCATGCTATAACTGATACAGCGAGAGGATCAGTTGTTTATTTTCCCAGTTTGGCTTCCTGCACCAACTCTCTGTCTCTGTCTTCTCTTGATGAGACCACTGGACCAGACAGCATAGACACCCTGCTGTTATACCGAAAAACAGAAAAGGCTTGCTGGAAGAGAGTGGAATCGGAATCGTAGAATTGCTTCAGTTCTCAACGTCTTGGGAGTTACTACTCTTCTTGCTCATCTTCCTCTTTGTTTCATTTGAGAAAATCACAAGGGTTTCAATGTACAAGGTCGATTGATGTTTGCGCTTTGCTCTACAAACTCAGAAGCCTCTATTGATGAAATTGCAGAATGCAGAGGCTTTTGGAAGACTCAAATGATGATTGGTGGTGAGGCTACCTCGCTAGTGTATCAATTGTTTTCTCAAAAGCTTTAGATGTTGAAATAAGCTTCTTAGAGCATGAATATTGGTTGAAATGTTGAGTATGTTAGACAAATCTTAGCATTAAAGTTGATTAAAAATAATCAAACCAACATCTTAAAGTTAAGATTTGTATCTAAGTTAAGATGTTTTTCTTAATTTAAGATGTTGCAAGGTGTCACATTGTGATTGGTTAAAAAATCAAACAAAAGAAGAATTTTTTTTTTTGTGCTTTATGTTATATATGTTATAAATTGTATCTCATGTATGTTTTAATTTTTTTAATTTGCAACAATTATTAAATTTTCTATAATTATAAATTTTATTTTTATATTAATATTTTTTTTTCTAAGAACCACATATTAAGAACCTACCATTAATCACACAAAAATCTTAACCCAAAAATACTATCTCTTACCTATCACTTTTACAAATATATTACTTAAATATTCCTAAGATTTATTTCTAAGATACTACCAATAATCATGCTCTTATAGTTTTATGTTTGTATTGGCGCTTCTCTGAGAATAGTGGAAGTTTCAGTTATTATGAGTGTATTTGCTGGCTTTAATCACAAAGTTCTTTTAGTTTTTTAAGTAAAACATTCACAGAGACTGTAATATACATCTCTTTAATTACATTTGTTGAAGAAGAAGATGTATTACCCGTCCAGAGCCATAAAATTGAATCATTATATGCACACAAAAGTATCATCATGTAATAGAAGGGACAAAAGACTTTCAACTTTGGTCCAGATGTCACAAGGGACAAAAGACTGTCGACTCTGGTCCAGATGTCACAATTACTCTCCTACAATCATACGCGTCAAAACAGAGACGAAACAGAAATACCAACATCAAACAGAGAGAAACTTTCAACTTATGTCAATTACTCCTATAAATCCTTTTCTTCAAGTGGGGTAATCAAAAGAGAGAGGTGAGAGACGTCTTTGCTTAAGCTTGGACTACAGATATCTGAACCTTTGGGGAAGCTTTTCCTTCAAGTCTCCGAAGTTCAGTGGCAATGTCGTAAAAAGCGGTAACGCTATCTTCTGTTTGCCCATATATCTTCACTTGTTGGAGTTGTGGCATTCTCATCATAAACCACCTCATTTGCTCAACAAATCGGGCTACATCCTCAGTAACTTCTCCTCTCCCTTTCTCAACAACTCCTTCGTATATCTCTAGGTGAGTAACAGGAGATGTTACTAGACAAGAGTCTACATGCTCGTCGTTCCTCCTGCAGGGACACACATCACCACAACCATCGGTGGCTAAGTGGAAGAGCCCCTGTAACATAAAGACAAGATAGTAACGCATCTGTTTTCTTTGCTTTTAGCAATAAAACCAATTCACTAAGCAGCTTGCTTTCTTACCTCCAAGACGAGGGTTTCCAAATGTGGACAGCTACTGAGCAGCTCTGGAATCGCGTCCCAGCCTAGAGTTTTGTCACTCTGAATAGTCAGGTGAGACAAGGATACAAATTCAGGAATTGGAGGATCGAAGTTGTAGTGAAGGACCTGAAAAACAACACAAGCAAATCAATTAGTGTTGTCTTGTATTCCCAACCTCAATAGTATTATTGGACAAAAAATTCTCAAGCAGCAGGATAGAAACAAACCTGAATAGTGTTCACATATAAATAGAGTCTTCGAACACTTGTTATTCCTGTGATAAAGGCTGTGGCATTATCACCAACAATCACTTCTTCTTCCTCATCTTCTTCCTCATCTTCTTCTTCTCTCTCATCGATCATTTCAAGTCTGATCTTGGCTTCAATAAGTGAAGAAAAATTCAGTACTGGATATTGCCCAGCAATATGATCAGTGTACTCCAAGTACAAGAGATTCGGGGTGTCAAACGACACACTCCGAGGACATCTCTCAAATTCATCCATTTCCAAATAACCCGTCCAGATTATCTTCAATCTTCTCAAACTTGCACTGACCACAAAACAGGCTTCCCATCTTTGCCACTTCATATCTATCATCACGAGTTCCTCTAGTATTGGACAGCCGGATAAGAGTCTAACAAACACTTCAGAATTAACAACTAGAACGTCGTCAAGCCACAGAGTCTTCAAACACGGAAGATGAACAGAAGCTACATCATCTTCATTTATCCAAATCAAACCACGGTTAGTTGCTAGCTTCAAAGTTACAAGACTAGCTTGCGAAAACACTCTTCGACTCAGCAGGAAATCTCCTCTAATTCCATATATAGAAAGCTTTAGCTTCTCTAATGCATTGCCCAATGCATAATCTACCAAACGAGTTGTAAATCCTCCATCGATCTCGTCATTAAGCGTCAGCGAGAAACTATCTAACTTACGGTTGCATCCTCTCAGCCTCAACACTTGAGAAACAAATCGCACGAAATGATCTTCCTCTTGATCATCACTAAAAGAAAACTTCAACCTTGAAAGATTCTTCATGTCAATTCTCCACCATCCTTTCATAAACAGAAGAGACACAGTAACAGCTGTCTTGGTTGGTAACCAAGAGAGGATGTGAGGTGCAAGATCCTTGGGCAAATCACAAAGCTCAGTATCCTTCTTCTTCTTATTCGATGCCATGGCAACAAACCTGAAATTAGCAAACACTAGATTGAAATCTGTACAAGAGAAAATAGAAATCTGAGAAAGAAATCAAGCAAAACCCATAAATCATACTAAAAAAAGAATGACGTTGAGGAACAATCATACTTCTCATCAGGAGAAAATAGAAATCTGAGAAAGAAATCAAGCAAAACCCACAAATCATACATATAGAAATCAAGCAAAACCCATAAATCATACTTAAAGAAGAAGGACGTTGAAGAACAATCATACTTCTCATCAGGAGAAAATAGAAATCTGATAAAGAAATCAAGCAAAACCCACGAATCATCCATAGAGAAATCAATCAAAACCCTCGAATCATACGAAAATACAAAGGAGGTTGAGGAACAATCGAGCTACTTCTCATCAGGATCAAGTAAAACAAAAAAATTTAGAAACAAATTTTAAACTTTCTTCCATTTTTCAATGATTTCTCTACAGATTAACAAATTCAGAGCATGAAAAGGAACGTACCTGTGTGAATCGAGGATGAGCAGCCTTAAACCCTAAACCTTCTTTGTGTTTATCAAATCGGAGAAGAAGAGATGAGAGAGGAAAGTGTTAATTCGCACGATTGAGCAAAAGAGAGTGAGACTTTCTTTGTTTATAATGAAAATGACCAAAAACCCCTCAGCTCCATCATATTTTGAAATTATTTATTATATCATATGGGCTAATTTATTCTTTTACATTCCATAATTGATCTAATTGGTGCATAAATAGTAAGGGTTAGAGGGATATTACCAGTAAAGATTGTAAAATTCTTAAAAAGATGTTGTGTAAATAGACTTTCACTTGTGATCTTGTAACTATACAAATAAATCATATCAAATAAAATAAATTTCAAAATAATAATTAATGGTTGATAAAAGTGTTGTGTACTATTTTAGTAGGAACATGTTATGACTTTTGATTTTTGATAATGAATTTTTTAAAAGATAATAATTAATTAAAATAAATAACTAAAGAGATATAATTAAAGAGTGAAAAATTATTATTTCGATGATTAATAATCAAAGAACTAGGGATTTCAAACAAAGGTTTTTTCCAATAAATAATATGTATATATATATATATATATATATATATATATATATGGTACAAAAGTAATAAATACTAGAAAAAATAATAATATAAACATTAAATGAAAATGCAATGTGCTATTTTATTTAAAAATTAAAATTTAACTACTCCCTCTGTTTCTCATAATGTATATTTTTAAAGTTTTTACATATATTAAGAAAACATATTAATAGTGGATTATAAATTTATTACTTTTTGTGATTTACAATTTTATATAATTTTAATCCAATAGTATTCAATTATTTTTTTTTTGAAGCTTACAATTCATCAATAATAACTAATAAATATTGCACAGAAAACCTACAAATTCTATCTTTTTGAAACAATTTTTTTCCCTAAAAAGTATATTATTTAGAAACAGAAAGAGTTGTAAATAGAAATATGTTTTCTAGTGCTTTCTATTTTTTAGCTTATGGATCTGTCTTTCTTATTCTTTTCATTAGGAGTAATATTGATAATCAAAAATTAAGAAAAGTTACAAATCACAAGATAAATGACGAGAATTATATTACAGAGAAACACAATAATTGACTTTCCATAACCAACAACTAGAAAAGAAAAGGAGTTTTCAAATACATTGCTTAAACCAAATACATCTTGTCTCGAGACTATCGAAGCTCTCGAGGCTCACTATAAATACTTCCGCATAACAATATCTGAGAACGGGATGCAACACAAATGGCAAAAACAAGTGAGGGGAACTTGGTCTTGTCAGCATAAGATGAATTTTACTCTGAGTGTCTTTGTCAAGAATCTCCTAGATGAACCGTAAGATATTTGACTCACTTAGACCTTTCAACGCTACAACGAACAAGTAAGTAAGCTAAACATTGTTTAACACTAAATGAGACAGATCTCAAATATAATCAAAAAGATAAATTCCAAACTAACAAGGACTAATTTAGGAAAAAAAATCTGTATGGAATTAAAACCTAATGAGCTAGAAAAAGAAAACATTAAACATTGAGTTTGTAAATGAAATATTATATATTTGGTGAGTTAAATCATATTCCGCTGACTGTTTTGTTTTGTTGCTAGGACCAAATGACCATTTCACTAAAACCAAAAGGCTAGTTGAAATAATAATTTTCAGTGAACTTAAAACAAAAATGCAACTTTTTTTTGTTTCATTTGTAAATTCCCCTATATGACAATGGCATGTCAGTACCTAATGAGATTAATTCACTTCTAAGGCTAGGCCATCGCCTATACATACCATATTTCCAACCCTTTTTTCCTTTGATAATCCAATAATAAAAACAGACTTTTATCCATATGATTGATTGCAAAAGAAAGAGAGTGAGAGTTTCTTTGTTTATAATGAAAATGACCAAAAACCCCTCAGCTCCATCACATTTTGAGTTTATTTATTATATCAAATGGACTAATTTGTTCTTTTACAATCCATAATTGATCTAATTGGTGCATAAATATTAAGGGTTAGAGGGAGCTAACCAGTAAAAAACATTGTAAAATTCTAAAAAGAGGTTATATAATTAGAGAGCAAAAAAATATTACTTTCACTTGTAGGGAGTGTTATTGGTTCCTAATTTACATGGAATTTTGATAACTTTAATAAAATCATAGAAAGTAAACAAATGAAAGATTCTAAACTATTGTTGGAGAGTTTTTGAGAGTTTTCTATAATCTTGTTGATTAGTATTTCATAATCTTGTAAAGTTTTCCAAACAATCTCTCTATTTTGATGATACTTTTCATGACTTTGTTTTGTGAAGAAAAGTGTAAAAAGTCATAAACCAATAACATAATAATTTAATTCATTAACAATCATAGATTCTTTTGTTGTAATTGAATAACACAAAATTTTTAATGACTTTATAAAAGCATGAATCCAATAACTTCAGATTTATGAAGATTTTAGATTACTTTTTACAAATCTTAAACTAATAACAAACTTTAACAAATTTTTAAAAAATCTTGATTGAATAACAACAGATTCTACATAACATTTAAAGTCACTAAAACTCTATTTAAATCACAAACCATTAACACCCCCGTAATCATATCAACTAAAATAAAATTTTAAGAATAATAATTAATGGTTATGATGCAGCGGGATCGTGACTTGGAAGTCAAGAAAAGAACGTGTGTTTATTGGTTTTGGGCTTTATTATGGTGTTGGGCTTTTAAGTGTTTTTTTATTGCTTTCGTCTTCTTCACTAGTCTAGGGTTTTTAGTTTCCAACTTCTTATTTAAGCGTTTATCATAAGTTATTAGACGGAGCTTTTTTGAGAATATTAATAAAAGAGAGATTTCTCTTCTTCCTTGTTCTTGATTCGATTAAATTCATCAGACAAGAAGCCTTGTGTAGATTTGATTAACTTCATCTCACGAGAAGCAGGTCCCAAGCGAGGATTTTAACAAGTCCCTTGGTTGAGCTGATCTATCCGGTTCGTACGCTGCGCCAGGTTAGTAAAAATGTTGTGTACTATTTTAATATAAAGATGTTATGACTTTCTATTTTTGATAATGGATTTTTTTAAAGATAATAGTTAACATAAATATTTAAAGAGATATAATTAAAGAGTGCAAAAATTATTATTCCGATTAGTAATAATTAATGAACTAGGGATTTCAAAACAAAGTGTTTTTCAAAATATACTTTAAAAATGTATATATAAATGGTACAAAAAATAAATAATATTAAAAAATAAAATACTTACTAGAAAAATAATAATATAAACATTAAATTAAAACGCAGTGTGCTATTTATTTAAAAATTAAAATTAAGAAAATTATGATATTCTATATAAAAAAAATGTGTATGTATCATTTCAGAAAACAATTATATTATTTTTTTGCGCTCCTTCAAGGTTGGCAGGGTGCAATCTATGAATTGTGGTGGGAGAGAAATCGCCGCTTCCATGATGGTCTCTCCCTCTCTCTGGTTACAATAGTAACACACATCATTTCCACCATGAATAACAAGTGTAATACAATGCTTTAGTTCGGCTTAAAGTATGGAGTTTCACTTCTTCAGTGCTGCACTATCTAAGGTTTAAATCAAGAAATGGGCTCTGTTTGGGAAAAGGGGATTTTCATACACGTACTATCGGGACTGTGGATTTTTATACCTCGACATTTTTGTAGTGTATTTTCCAACCCAAACTAAAATAAAATTTCAATTACATACCTGTGATTCATAAAACTTTTAACAATCAGATTCAACCTAACTTCTTTTAGTAATTTCAGGAACGATGCTTAGCCAGCTTAGACAGATATACTGGTATTAAACCATTATGCTGATATTTTGATTCTGATCTTAATAATTTTGTTTTTTTCAAACTTAGGTTTCTAACCTATCTACTCAATTTGATGGCTTAACTTTTAACAAAGTTGAGTCATCTTTGATTAGAAGAGAATTAATTTA